GGGGGGGGATTTTTGGGGTGGGGGCAGCTCCCCCCGGAGCAGCCCCGGTGGGTGCTGCCTGCGTGCTCCCACCCCCACACAGCCTCCCCGCTCCAACACAAAGCATCCTTTTAGGGATTTTCTATCTAAAAAGAGTATTCCTATGGCACGTCCTCTCCCCTCCGCAGCCTCCCGAACCCCCAACAGATTTTAGCAGCTCTTCGTAAGGACAGCAGAGAATAAATTTCTTGCTAGGAAATAAAACTTCCCCCTGACCACCTACCCCTACTCCAAAAAAAACCCTATACAATGAATAGCCAGCAATTCCAGCTGGGGTACCACAGCATTCATGGGTACAGAGCTAATCACAGCACTCAGCTGGACAAATATTTCTAACCCTGCAATTCTGTATTGCGAGGATATTCCTTTGTGATGCTCCTATGCTCACCTAAATCTTCTGGCCAAAATGACACTAGATCATTTCATCTTCCCCTCCACACTTGAGGAGATTCTCCCAGTTTGAGTTCAGACCCAGAAAGGCACCAAAGGCAGAGAGCTCCGACCCAGACCCTCTCGGAGGGTTCCCCAGAGCGCTGGAGCAGCCACAGGCTCCAAATGGCCTTTCCCCCCTGCCCACTCTCACAGGCAGCTCTAGGGGACTTTATGCCCCACAAGGGCCATGTCCCCAGATTTGAACATCTCCGACACAGGAGCCAGCAAGCCCAGCACCCCCGTGCAAGCATTACGCACTTCCCACACTGAGCCCTCTGCCTGATGTCCAAATGAGGAACAGCACGATTGCTCCAAAAGGCCTGACCAGCTACTGCTTTAAGAGGAAAATAACCAGCAACAAACGATTTCTTTAAACAGAGCTTGTATATTGCAGTGCACCAGAGCTCACACCCCCCAGCAAAGCCTACCTGGAGGTATTATTTAGCCTCATCTTCTAACTACCCATCTTTATTCGGGTAAATTAGGGTGAAACTTCAGTGACTGAGGTGAAAAGTGGGGGAATGCACATTTTTCTCACAGCTGCTGCTCAAAGAAAAGCAAGTGGGAGCCCTGTTCTCTCTGCTGGAGTATGCAGATAATGGCTGGAGGCTCTTGAAAGGCTTTTAAATAGATGGGGCACAGAGAAGTGTGGCAGTAGGCCAGGACACCCGTGGGCTGAGCCCCTCTTTCACCAAGCTCTCGGCTTTCAGGGTTTCCTTCTTCTCCAGCAATACAAAATTAATGGGGGAAAATGGAGGAACTTCAGGGGGTTTGTGTCGGCTTGCGGGAGCTGTATGGAGCGCTTTAATGGCTCCGTGTTCATTTACAGGGATGCTCAGAGCAGGCTGGTGTGCAACCCAGCCATCTCTCAATCCCCACTTACATCTCACAGAAAAGATAATCTAAGGCAAGACATATCTTACCATCCTTGCCATGGAGATGGCAAGGTGGGATGGATCCCTATGGACCGGCTGCTGGTGCCGATCAACCCGTACTCCTCATGGCCTGAACTGTTGCGCTTTTTTGTACTTCTACAATCATCGGATTATTCATGTGCTTCTTTCTCCTTTAGACATCCTTCCACTAAATGGGTGGTTCAGACTGTATTAATCACACCCAGTTTAGGACTACTATATGACTGTTATTTAAAACTATTTACTGAATAAGTTTATAAATAAGGTTCTTTGAACTTTCCTTTCTGTGTGTTATGAAGATTCATTACTCGGCTTGGAAGTTTGGGGCTATTTCTGTGCTTTTATCAAAAAGCAGTTCTTGTTAATGTCAAAACCAGCTCTACCACAGTTAAATACTCATTTTTCCTCCTAAACAGATCTAGATAGAAAAAGTTTCAGCCACTAAGGCATTAGGAAGAAGCCAGCCATTCACACAGGGAAGTTAACTGGCTGTATTGCTAGGGGCTCGATTATTCCCAAGTTTCCATGAGGTTTAAGTCTCTCTTTGAGCAATAAATGGAAAAGACAATTCTGCACTTATCTGAGCCAGGTGAGAAAACACAGGAACCCCCAAGGCATGAGCTCAGACTGGTCCCAGCCCCTGTGTCACCACAGCCAAGGGGGAAGGCAGAGGCACAGACCTTGGGCTGGGCTCTGTGTGCCAAAAAAAAATCCCCTGCCTCTTGCCAAGGGTGACAGGACACTATCTATCCTGTCCAAATAAACATGACTGCAGCCAAGGCACTGGGGCTTTGCCAGCCTCTCCCACCAGCCTGTGCTACTCCTCCTGGCACTGCCCAGGTCCCAGGCAAGCAGCCATCAACCAGGGCCAGAAGAAGAAACCAAACAAGCGATGGACAAGCGGAGACAACAGGAGTTTAACACCTTGTTAGCCAGTCGGTGGAGCATCTCTTTAGCTGCTGGTCCCTGGCATCCAGCACACTTTTTGCTCTCTCATTAAAGGTGGAGAGAGCAGGATGACCAGCAGCCACCGGCTGCCTTGAAAGCTTTATGTATATGCATAATGCAGATGCTGAGTGGCATAGGAATAAATAGGAGAGGATAAAGAGGAGATAACAAAAAACACAGTTAAATCCAGGCAAAGCGCACCCCAGTGAAAGCAGCAAGCATTAATTACAGGTCTCAACAGAGCCAGTAAGATGCAGAGAGCTCATTTCTAAGCCTCACCAACCATACTCTTACAGGTCCACAGCTCTGACCAGGGTTTGAACGCTTCCCCCCCCCTCCCTGCAGCAATGAGTACACTCCTGTAAGGAGCGGTCAGGCCACACAGCACCCAACGGCAGCAGAGCCCAGCATGCAGCACAGCCCGCTGTCTCCGCTGCTGACCCAGTGGCATTTTGCTTTCCACGCTGCTTTGCAGGCAGGGAGCTCAAACCCTGCCCGACAGCAGCGAGGGCGAGCTGCAGAGGGAAAGGCAGCAGCTGCAGCTCCACCTTCTCCTCCAGGACATTTAAGGGTGAGCTTCCCCACTGCAGCGCTGGCCAGGCACACGCATGGCCCCAGGCGACCCAGCCTTACAAATGAAGGATACTGTAAGGACAGAAAGGTTGTTGAAGGCTGGGAGAGATCAGCCCTATTCTTCCTCACCCCTAGCTCCAAGTTCAGAAACTCAGAGATCTCAAGAAAAGGCTATTGCCATTCCAGTTTCAGGTCTGATTTTGGCCCAGCGGTTTTTCCTCCCCGGTGCACGTGGTGCTCAGCACAAAGCATTGGTTTACCCACATCACTGGTGACGTTTGCTCTAGAAGCTTTCATATGGGGCTTATTCAGGTGTTACATCCAATGTTTTTCAGCAGCTGCTGGAAAGGCTGTTGGAGAAAGAGCTCAAACCCCATGCTGTAATTTCAGATGAGAGGCCACCTGAAGAACCCAAGGTCTTCTCTAAAAGAAAGGGCCGAGACAGAGCAGAAGTCCTGCCTGCACCCCGGTGCGGCAGGCAGAGACAGCGGCTTTCATCTCCCCTTTGAATTCTGCCTTCTCCCCCCTGCCCCTCTGCGCACAGCAGGGAGCTTTATTTAATTAAAAAACTTCCAACAGGCAGGACCTGCAGCCTCACTTGGTGCAAAATGTCACATATGACTTACTAATATTTACTAATGACCAGAGGGACTGAGGTTCGTCCAACTGTTTGATGGCAGGAAAAGGAAATGGTGACCCCATTACAGAGATGGGAAATTGGCAGAGCAACCTTGCCCGCCCAGCCTGGAGGCTGAAACGCTGCTTTAGTCCCTGTACTAATTCATGTTTATTATAATGCAAAATGTAATCACCAGGTGATTTTATAACAAATTTATACCCCAGCTTGAAAATGCCACACTGCCAACAGCACCAAGGCAATGCACCAGTCTGAACTGAAGAAGACCCAGGGAGACCACATGCAACATATGTTCACCCCTAAAAATACAACAAAACCCTCTCTCCTCTTCAAGTTGGGAGGTGCAGAGCTCATGGTTCGGGGGACATAGCTCACCCACACTGCTAGTAAAGCATCAAGTCCACCCCAGTCACTGGGATCACGGGTTTCTGATCCGGGCCCTGCAATCAGGGCAGGAACTGAAGAGAGCGCGAAGCTTCAAATGCACCATTTTATATTGCATTGGTCTTAGAGTGCTACACTGCTCCTTGCTTTAAGACAAAATGTAGACTTTGACTTTAAATACCTCCAGATCCTTTTCCAACTGCAGTTACATTAATGAGCAAAAAAATTCCCTTCTTTTAAAGCACTCCTGCTTGCACCCAAAGGTCCCCTCCTCAGGGTTGTTTGGTTTTGTTTTCTGAGGAATTACTTATCCCACCCAGTGCACCTAGTTGCTGCAAATGGAGACCAGGCACAGTGTGAGAGGTCAAGTTATTCCTAGTCCTGTTCCTAAAGACAACCCCTAGACATCTGGGAAACCTCATCAAGGGGAACTACCTGGACAAACCTCACCATCAAATAAAACTCCTGCAGCATTAGGAGACCATAGTCCTCATATGCCCAGACTTCCCCAGAGCTCTGAGATGGTTCTCCAGAGCAGTATGAGCAATTACTAGTGTAAGGGGGGGGGGGGGAAAAAAAAAAACCCAAAAAAAAAAAAAACCACCCTTCCCAAAAAAAACAAAACG